GAAAGTCTTGAGAATTGAGGAAAAAGGTTCCTAGTATATTAAGGTGATGATTAGGACCTTTAATTCATAAGAATTATTGTACATAAGTTAAGTCTTTGAATTTTTTGTAGAATTCCAAAGGGGAATAGAGTTAAGTTAGAACATAGATTGATTTGAGTTTTGTCAGGTTGATTCTTATTGATTTACGTTGAATAAATTGTCATTTGATTTTTACTAAATTTTGTATATAGTTATTACTAGAATTTTTATTAAATATTGGATTGTTTTTGAATAACTTTGTCATTATTTAATTCGGTGCACGCTGAAAGTCCAGGCCAGGCACATTAACGCGAATCCGCGTAAAGTACCCGTTAGGTAACAGCTATTTCCGGCACACAGTCGTGTCAATAATTGTTGGAAAAGTCGGAAAAATAATATAGTACTTTACAAATGTGTGAATATAAAAAATAGTAGTAAATGCAATAAATTTTCAACAACAATATACAACAAAAATGGAAATAATTCAGCAATGATTAAACATTTAAAACCAAACATGGAATTACTTTATCTACAAGACCAGGACAATAGCCAAATTATTTAAAACTCTTAACAATTTCGTCATTAGTCTATCTTTAGATCAAATTGTTGTGGAAATGGCCACTGTTGATAATGTATCAATTAGAGCAACCATAAAATCTAGCTTTATTTGTGAAAGTTTAACAAAATGAGGTTATAAACTTCCTAAAGCTAAAAGAGCTGTTAAGAGGTTATTCAATAAGTTTTATGAAAAAAATAAGACTGAAATGATAGAGTTTTTAGAAAAAAAATTAAAAGAAAATCAAAGATTTAGGCATTATACTTGATAAATGGACAAGTGCAAAAATGCAAAAATGTATAAATATTAATGTGTGTGGAATTGGCAATGAAATGCTTAATCTGGGTTTAGTTAGAATTTTAAATTTGTGTACAGCTCCACACAGCTAATATAAACAGTAGAGCACCATTTAAGCACATTTAATATAAATTTAAAAAACATATAGTTGGAATAACCAGCAATAATGCATGCGTAATGATCAAATTTCGACAAGATTTTCCTAATATTTATGGGTGTTTAAATCACACTATACACACAGCCATTTGCGACATACTCTATAAAAAGAAAAATATTTCCAACATACATAATCACGACAATTTTGATTATGTTAAAGAAGATTATTTTTCTGACAAGAGCAATGATGAAGCTAAAAATGCAGAAGTTGAATTAACAAATGTAGACAGTTTAGTAGATAATGCAAAAAGTATTCATATTATTGTTAAATATTTTTAAAATTCTACCATGCAAAATAATCTTTTACAGGATATTATCAAAAGTGTTTTAGGAAATAAACTGGACATAAATAAACTTAGACATAAAAATGAATTGGAATTCATTGCTCCAGATGGTTTTAACATTTTTAAGAATATCTGACATTATTAAAGATGTTCTTGAAGATATTGGAAATATACATTTAATAGAAAATATTAATACCAAACTATTATACAAATTGGCAAATACTTTAAAAAAATATTAAATTAACGACTGAAGCTCTTAGCAGAGATAATGCAAATCTAACAACTGTTCAATTAGCAATTAATTTTATGATTGCAAAATTAAGAGAACTAACTAGTAACGTGAGTGGAGAGTTATTAACAGCAATGGAAATTCAAATAAATAAATGCAGGAACCAAGAATTAGAAGAGCTGTTAAACTGTCTCATAAATGTTACTAACTCTTCAAAGAAAATACTAAATTTTACAACAGATCTAATGAAAAAAATTGTTTGATGGTAAACATAGCAAAAATGATGGAGAGCATTCATCTGAATCCAAACATACTGCACATGAATATACCATGCCAACAATGGAAGAACTAAATCAAATATTATAAACCACAAAGTGCCCAATATAAATTTGCATATCTGAAAAACGAATTTGNAAAAAAGAAAATTAAATATGTAGTTTTTAAAATCACTGATATAGTTTAAATATGGCTCTGGGGGGTCGCCAGAATTTTTTAACTTGTAAAGGGGTCACGTATTCAACAAGGTTGAAAAACACTGCATTAGTAAAGCAAAATTCATTTTACATTCAATATAATTGGTAACCTAGATAATGTAACAATTTTAAGAAAACAAAGCACCCCTTACAGTTTATGAAAAACCAAATAGATACACAAATTCTCTTAATTCGAGTAATTAGATCAGATTCTAATATGAAAATGTAAAATCTGGACAGCTTTTTAAAATATGTATATGATTCTGGTTTGAAGTCTCTCTAAGAAACTTCAAATACATGTTCATACTGTATAACTGGCTCAAAATGACTGCATACAAATCAATCTTACTGAAGTGTTGCTTTTGTAAACTGCAAAACATTAATAACATTTGAAATGGAATTTGGTTGATCCCCTTTTAAGATTAAATCTTATTGAATTTTGAAAACAATTAATTGCTGTTGCTTTTTACATCAAATGAACATTTTCTCAAATCAACCCAGAACTGCAAGAATTTAAGTAGATTTATAACTATTACAATTATTTCTCAGTATACACACTGTTCTGTAATATTTTAAGCTTTTTGTCAACAAATTCCAAGAGAATATTTTCTGTTGCAGCTAACTTTTGTATAAAAATTTGTTCTAAACTATTAGACAAATTATTAAATGCATTAGTTTTTTAGAGTTTTATTTTTTGAGGAAAAAATAATTTTTATTAAATTTATGCATTAGAAATAGGGTTCATTTTCATAAAATTTATTGGAAAATGTAATTTACTTTTTATTCAATAAATACTTATTCATATATACTGTACACTTGTTATTTTTTTTAACACCACTTCTTCTCGAACCCAGATTCAGAACCGAAAAGTAATCAAGGATCCAACTTGGACTCATTGAGTCCTAAAAGATTAGGTCTTCCCAAACACTAAGTTTAGTCCATTAATTTCAAATGCCCTCACACTGTTTTTGCAGAAATAATGATATTATATTTCCTCTATTCATTTGATGTTTCTTGAGCTGAGCTGATTCTCATTGTTTTATAAATTACACATAATACCTTCTATCTTGTCTTTGTTGTTTTCTTTGGTCTACCAGGTTTTTTCTTGTTCTTCACACTTCCTGTAACTTTAAATTTGTTGAGTGCATATTGCACAGCTGTTTTACTAATCTTAAGCTGTTCAGCTATTTTTCTTTGAGACTTTTGTTCATTATGTAATGTTATTATTCTCCTCTTAATATCATCTGAAAGCATCTTTCCATGGGCCTTATTTATGATCTTTATGATAACAACTAATCAGAAAATATTAGATATTCTTTATGCAAATTATTTTGTATGTTCATTTACATGCTTATTCTCTACAGTTTTAACTGTACTATTTATTTTCATAACTCATTATTTATTTTTATTTTTCATAATTTTCATAACTCAAATTTCCTGTAGTGCTCTAATGATTTTGTCCTTAGTATTGAATGGTGTAATACTTTTGTACTTTATTGCAAAAGTTTGTTGATATTTTATGATACATGTAATAATCCTCTCATTCATATATTAAATAATCTCCAATAGATATTAGCACATGAATACATATTATTATATTCATTTCTACTTGTTTTCACTTAGTGTATTCAGGCTTAAAAAGTTGTGTGTTACATTTCAATTGGGGTGGTCTAATACTTTTGTCATGGAGTTGTTTATAACATATCCATTAATTTGTGTGTATCAAATAATAACAACTTTGATAAATTAATAAAAATAATCTATATTTATATGAGAGATTACTTTTAACATGAATTAATTTCATTAAATTAAGTGTAATATTATGAAATATTTTTATTNAATAATAACAACTTTGATAAATTAATAAAAATAATCTATATTTATATGAGAGATTACTTTTAACATGAATTAATTTCATTAAATTAAGTGTAATATTATGAAATATTTTTATTAACACTATTAACTAAATAATTAACACATAATGTAATATTTTTTGGTGCTATTTAAACAAAATTATAGAAAGAAATGATAGGTGGTCAAATTTCATAATTTGATTATTTTCATCTACATGGCAGATTTTAGACTAAAAATATGCTAATTTATAATTAGCTTAATTCTAATCCAAAAATAATCCAATGTACTGATGTTGGCTATTAGAAATCAACTACATTTGTTTATTCATACATCAATAATATAGAAAAACATTTAGATGTGCAATATTCGTCAGCACAACTCATCACTAAATCATGAAATGTTGATATAATAATCAACATTTCATGATTTAGTGATGAGTTGTATTATAACAATTTTCATCTTTTTGAAACTTATTTTCTCAAGAAAAAATAAATTTAAAAATAAACAATATGTGTTTTTTAAATCATATAGTACAGTATATTGATAATTTAAGGACATTGCCCTTAAATTATCAATATACTATATGACTTAAAAATGATTAAAGGACAAGAAGCTTCAAGTAAATTGAATAATATATACTTTCTTCTGTTTGTTAATTAATTACACAAATGTTACTTAATAATATGAAGATGAAAATAAAAAACATTAATCTCAGAAAATTAAAGCTGATTAAGTTATTTTCTAACTTAAAGATGGTTTTTCTAAATTAAAGTACTAATAAAATCAAGTTAAGATTATTGCATAAATACTGCATTCAGTAAATAAAAGTGATTCTCATAACTGCTTCACTTGTTGAATTTCTAATGTGTTCAATACTGAATTCAATCACTGAAATATTTAATGAATAAATTGACTGATATATGTTTGAATGAAATAAGAAAGAATAAAAGTTGAGATTAGCATTATATTAGTTTTCAAATGGTTAAATAATTTATAATAGGAAATAATTGCAAGAAATTTAAATCAACAATTCAAATAATCAAACTTTGATTACACATAATTTCAAAATTTAAACATTAAAAACACAATATGTAACTAATTTGAAAATATGAATAATAAATAACATTTCTTACCTAATACTTTATCACTAATTCCTAAATGATTTTCAAGTTCTGTACAAACTTTTGAAATTAGTGAAAGTTGTTCCAATTTCAGCATTTCTTCAGTAATTTGATCCATGATTTAAATAATTGTTACTAGTTTATAATATCTGAAAAATGTTAAAACCTAATTAGCTTATAAATCTTCTTTATTGATAAGTGCTAAACATATTTGTGATTTATTAATTCATGAACATAAAAGGAATATGTGTTAATTTTAAATAAATTAGATATTATATAATTATAATTGATTTAATTAAACATTATGCCAAATATTTCATTCCAAATGCACTTTGTAAAAGGTCCATTGTACACCCAAAGATAAATCACTTCAGAAGTCTGATCTCTTTAAAGAAAGACTTCTAAAGGAAAACTGAAAGATGTCACTAGGGCTAAAAAAAAAAAAAATCCAAAGTGACAAAAGGATGAGAAAGAACATTTCAGATATGGCGAATGTAAATATGAATGGTAATCAAAAACTATATTCTGTGTTCTTATCATATTGAAGGTGTAATAAAAAAGTTATTTAACATAGAATGTGATTTTTTTAGTTACAATTCACTCATGAGTAAAAATGCAACCATAGTATTTGTTTAAATTATAATTCAATAATTTACATTACTTTGGTTTTCACTTAGGTCTGCAGAAAACCTAAATATTGTCTGAAGAAAAATTCTTGTTAATAAACTTTTCAATACATTTTAACAGTTGTCCATCAATTATTGTTTTGTCAGTCTTTAAAATCCCCATCCACAGTTCTAAACTATTTCCATCTTTTTGTTTGTTCATGGTGAGCTGACAGTTTGTGGCTATTATTAGCTCCTTTGTAATTCTTAATTAATGGAGTTGTTTTTCAACACTGAAAATAAAAATTTTTGCTTTTTCTCATTTTGCTTCTGTATTTTTATTGGTCATTAATGTTACAGCTGATTGTGTTTGGATTGTCTTGGAGTAAGTCATACCAGTGTTCCTTCAAGCTACATGTTCAATAAATAATGCAGCACATTTTTTTCTCAAAGCAGTTAGCTTTATTCCAGTTTTAAATACATCATTTTGTTCCCAAATTCCTTGAGTATAAAAAGCCGTTTTTCTAAATAATTTCCATTCAAGACTAAGACCTTATGGCACTGAGATATGAAAGCCTGTATGCCTTCATGGCACTACTGTATTGGTCTGTGTCTTACCCAATTTCTCACTTCAAGAATAAGTTTTTGGGGCCGTATTTTGGTCACTAGTCCCTTCTTTCAACGACGAATGACATCAAAACAACAGACGAAATTTGTCTCTCAGAAACAGTGGCGATTCTGACACTTTTAACAATCTCATCTTCATTGACAACATCACATTACTACTAGGTTGATTATACATGTTTGTGTTATCTGCTCATGCAAAACAGTATAGAATTTTAACCAGCAAATTGTAGTTTTCAAAAATGCAGAGTACGTAATTATAGATCACATGGCATGGAAAGCATACATTCAAATAAAGCACCCAATTTTGATGACATTGTTTTTGTTTTATAACGTTTTTACAGATTGTAATGTCAATTTGTCTCTTAACAAATAAAAATTTTAATAACCTAAGTTAGAAAAGCATGTGTACTTAGATATTTTTCGAAATATTACCATCTAATTTCTCCTTAACTATCTAAGTAAGATTAACATCATATTCAATAGTTCAGTAATTGATGTAAAATAAAAAAAAAAAAAAAAATAGAATCAGTGACGTTTCCAAGTAGACACTGGAAAAAAAATCATAAGCATTTTCTCACTCAAAATATTCTTTCCTGAGATAGAGACCGTTCTCTAATATGATTGTACAGCACGAGTAGCATCCAGTTGTCCATACTGGATATAATGAAAATCGAGGCAAAAGACGAAAGACAAAATACAACTATCATCTCGTCTTCAAGAGAAAAAGTTGTTCAGAATCACATTTGGAGAGACGTGATGATCTCTCAAGATGTAAACAAATGATTAGCCAATCAGCGAACAGCTTATGAGAGATGAGAGATAATGACCAGAATACAGCCTCTGGTTGTTGTCATATCTTTCAGAGATGCAGTCTGCAGGACGATAGAGGACCAAAGAGATGAAAGTCTGAAGGTACAAGATCCAGGCTTAGAGCAGATGAGGAAGGACAATTCACCCAAGTTCTGTGATCACCTCTTGGGTGCAGACTTGTGTGTGGCCCCACATTGTCATGAAAAAAGAAAATTTTATTCAAATCTTTATGGCAATGAACACCTGAAATTATTTCTTCAACTTCCCAGGAGTCTTAACATAGGTTCCTGAACTGATCATTACACCATACAGGAGTACAGTCGACCCCCCTATAACACAGTAGATACGTTCCGTTCTTTATGAAATTGATGTTCTACGAGTCCTTAAATACATGAGCCAATCACAGCCAGGCACGTATGCAGTTTACGGACTACAGCTGTTTGAAAGGTTTTCTTCCATAAAATTAATCAATTCTAGACTAATTTGACTAAACATTTCCAAAACACGTATAATTTTTTGGGAATAATCCATATAAACTATGCTATAAACAAAAAATTGTAGGATTACTTACCGAGTGTGGACTGTTTGACAACACAATTGCTTAAGCTTGTTTTCGCCGTGGAGCGGTGCATTGAACGGGGCACGGATGTTTCCTGATAAATTATTTTTCTGTGAAAAGTTTACTGAACTTTGGAAAAATCATCAATATAAATATAATTTTTACGGATGTTAAATAATAAATGGTTTTTAGTAGGCCCGCTGCTCATTTAAACTCAATGATTTGTGCAATATCTGCTATTGGTCTAGATTCGACCAATCCTGTCATGACACGAGTCAGTGATGACGTTTTACCGTTATATAGGAGTCTCTTTTAGTGTGTTTATACGAATACGGTTGCAATTTTTTTGCTGTTATATATGAATCCTAATTATATGAACCTGTTTTATAGGGGGGTCTACTGTATATCAATAGAAATAACCCTTTCAGAGTTCTAGAAGACTGTAGCCACAATCTTGTCAGTTCAGGGCATTGTCTTGAACTTTTTCTTCTGAGGAATTGTGTATGCCCTGCATGGATTCTCTTATGGTCTCAGGCTCAAATTGATGAATCCATGTTTCATCTTCTGTGACAATGGTTGATAAATCATCACAATCAGTCCTGTACTGAGCAAGCAACTCAGCACAGATGATCCTTGATTGTTTTCTCTTAATAGTCATCTGTTAGGCTTCAAAGGATCCAGCAAGCACAACCTTTGAACACCCTAAATTGTGGACAATTGTATTGACACTACAAACAATCAAGTTGAGCAATGAGTTTTCAGGATGTGATTTGCCAAATCATCCTGGGCCCTTAGTCTCGAGTTTTTCGTGTTACAACTCCCAACATGTTGAAGGCATCACATGGTACCATCTCAAACTTTGATGTCAAATTGGTAGTCTTGAGTTACAATTCATGTGCTTTCCAATCTCACCATGTGAATTCTTACTCACTTTGAGTCAAGCATGTGAAATCTCTACATGAAAGTGAAAATGGCTGATGGATATGCTATCAAAGCATTAGAAAAAGCAGAAAAAGTTGTTTAAGAAGGCAACAAATTTTTCAACCAGGAGCAGATGCCATTTCTTTTCATGTCAAGTCAACACTAATAAAAAAAAAATTTTAATTCATAATTGATAAAATTATACAGCAAATTTTTCCAAAAATAAAAAGAAGTATCTAATTCATTGAAAAAGAGAATTAAAACGATAGTAAATTATATGTATGAATTATTAAGAGCATAGACACTATATTAAGATTATTTATTAATCAGAAGTGTTAAGTTCTGATCAATAAATAATCTTAATAGACAAAAACAATTTAAGAAATAGATCAAGGAAGAAAACTATATGAAGAAAGGATTAAATTAAAATACTTTTCCATTGCACAACAAATTTTTTAGCTCCAACACATGCAATTAATTTTTCAACTAATTCTCTCCACAAATCGAATTGTCTTATTCTTGTAAATTCGTTGTCAAATTTTTTCTATTGTTCATTTTCTTATTATTTTCTATATATGTTACTAATATTTCTTCTTGTTCTTTCATTTTCACTGTAAATATTATATATATAATTTTTACAGATAAGTTCAGAGTATAAGAACAGTAGTATTAAAATCAAACTTAGCAAGGTTTTCATTTTAAATGATTTTGTTCATTTCTTTTGACAACACAAATAATGTCTCCAGTAACTATTCTCTTCCTATAAAACTTCCTGATAAACAGGTACAGTTATCATATGTCATTACATTAGTACAGTGTTTTTCAACCTGTGGGTCGCGACCCCCCTGGGGGTCGCGAAGCCTTACACGGGGGGTCGCGGGTAGAAGTAAAAGACAAGTGTTTGTAGGTCTTACACTACATTAAAAAACTACAATTTCAGCGACAATTACGGCTCACCCCAGAAAATGATAGCGGAAAAAGTGTTGAGCTGATTTGCAAAAGGAAATAAAAAGTAGAAAAGTATAAGCTGAAATTCAGATACTAAAAAAAAAAGGTCAACAGTTCCCTGTGCGTAATGTTATAATTAAAGGAA